CAATAGTATTACCACATGATTATACTACATCCATCCATAGTATTTTAAGTGCTTGTATGATACCCCATAATTGATTTACAGATTGCTATTGAAAATTCTCCATTTCGAACACGATGATTTACCGTTCTACATAATGACATAATGCCACTAATAACACCTGATCATACCACAATCATACCCCATGGGTATCATCATCTATTGCTTGGTTAAATGGTTAAGTTAAAACGCATCAAAAATCATCTTTTGGTTGGTTCCCCGTGACATTTCACCAATGTTTTGTGCTTTGTTTATCCCATTGAATCACCATGTTTTGTGGTTAAACCGGTTCAACCCCATGTGTAAATCACCAAATTATATGTATGTATGCAATGCAATGTAATGTAAATGTACATGTAAATGCAAATGTAGGGTAGTGTAATGTAATGTAATGTATTTATGTACATGTCATTTCTCTCTCTCTCTCTCTCCATCGCCATATATATATATATATGTGTGTGTGAGTGTGTGTGTATTATATATATATATATTATATATATATATATACTATCATTATAAATCACCATTTTGTTGGTTGGCTCATCAATCACTCAACATCCCCCAAGTTCCTGGGCCGGCCTTGAGTGCAGCAGCGGTGCTGGTGGTCCCACCCTCCGCCGCCCACGCTCGGCCTGTGACAGCTTGGGGAATCTTGGGGAAATCATCAGCATCTTTCAAGTCATGGTGTTTCTATGTGTTTCAAGTCATATCTTTTCCAAGTTGTGTTTTTTCTGGTGTTTCTATGTGTTTCTTAACTTCTGTCGTTCATCTTGCAAGTGATGTCAGAAAGGGTAAGGATGGAAGAGAAAGAAGGAGTAAGACGAAGCAAAATTTAAAAAGCACCAGCCAGCAATTGCTTTTACATCTGCTTTTACCATCCTTTTCCAATATCGAGTCGCGCCAGTGTCACGCCCGCCATAAAATCACCGAAGATCGCGCCTCTACGAAAGATCGATAGGAAGCTCCAACCTGAACAGCCTAGAGAGGGGGGCGCCAAGCAGAAAATCAGCCAAAGTTGCGTCTACCCCAAATATGAATAAACCTCCACTTACTCGCAGTATCGTATCGTGTAGTATGGTATGGTATGGTATGGTATGGTATGGTAGTACAGTGATTTGCTTTGTTTTGGGGAGCTTGTTTTTTTATCACTCTGTTGGGAAACTGGAATCGTTGCCATTTGGGCGAAGCCGCTAAGCCCGCCCAGTTATGAACTTGGAGTGGGGCGTGAATGAGGAGTTCATTGTAGGCACATCCAAGATGATCTTTTGGTTTGAGCTGGCAGAGAGGGTTCCGTTTCCCAAACACCATTCTCGGTTTTGAGCCATCCAACGTCTCTAAAAAGGTCTGGTAGAATCTTACGCCTTCGATCTCATCACACCTTATTCACATTTCAGGCCATAGATCCTCATTACAAACCATTGGAAATAGATGATCCTCACAAGAAATCTTCTATCACGTGGTTGGGCAGCTCAATCAATTCGTAGCTCCAACTAGCTTCCCAATGAATTCACACATTTTTGGGAACAAGGATATCATTGGATACCCGGCCTTAGTCCAACTGCCCCCATGACGGCCCATGACGAAATGGAGACATCGCGATTGTCATCGCGGAACCCGCTTTCCCTCGGCTCCCCGGCCTAGAAGGCTGACCACAAGCCCGGCCGTTGCCTAGGAGCGTACTTTTCGGCATCTCTTTGAGGATTGTGATAGTGTTAAACCGGCCAGTTTGGGGCTGGTGTTTTGACCAGTTTGGTGATGTTTGATACTTAAGTCAGGTATTGGGGGATCATCTTTTGACCCCCAATCTTGGCATGACGTCAGATCAAGCGCTCAACTGAGGCTCAACCTATCATTACACTTGGTTCAGTGACCTCGTCTGAAAATTGGGAAATAAGTGACTCATTTTCCTGTGGTTGATCACCCAAAATCAGATCCCTCCCTGGTCAAGGTGCCAATCGGATCCATCCGGGCAACCGCCTTCCACGGGGCGCAGGTGGGGGCTACTCGGCTACTCGGCAAACCATGGGAAATCACCTAACAACAGATTAATGTTATTGAAGTCATGTTTTTTTTCCCATGACCAGGTTGGATTACTGGAGGGTCCCCAAAATGGAGGAAGCCATGGTCAGAACGGTTGGGAGCACCAACACCGACATCCATAGCACATGAAGCCACAAAAAATGGCGTCAAATCCCCAAACAATGGAAGGCCTATCGAACAAACAAGCCTCCAATATTCTATAGCTATAGTTCCCAGGCATTTGTAGATCACCATGGCATATGTAGATACATAATAGCCATCTATAGAATCTATAGTTCCCATTTAGTGTATTCTACCAATGCTAATATCCATAGCTCCCATAAAAATCAATTCCTACTATGAAAAGTGGCCATGGAAGATTCACCAGGGGCTCCGTGCCTGGCAGGTTTTCGGGTCATCACCAGGGCACCAAGATGCGCCAATGTGAAGATGTTTGGGGAATTGGTTGGAGATGGTTGGAGACTGTTCGGCAAATGTTGTGAAAAATTAACTCTCCCTCTCTCTCTCTCTCTAACTGTTTCATGGATTTCTTCAATCATGTTCAACCCAGTGTTTTTCAAAATGTCTGCTGGTGAAATCAAATGCCGCTTGATCGTGCTGAACTTGCGGTGGCTTCACTCCATCTCCGAGCTTCGTTCGCAGCTGAGGTGAATGTGAAGAGCCCAACGTTCAGCGCCCCAAATCGTAGCCATCTTTCGGCTGTTGAAGGTTGGGGGACTCCAAAGGCAGCTCCAAAATTGGGAAACCGTCCATGGGACCATGGCAGTTGAACCACATCAGCTTCCTTTTCAAAGCACGGATCCCGTGGTTCCCCCTCAGCTATGTGCTGAGAATTGGATCCGCAAGTTTCCACATGGGCATGGGTCAAACGGTCAAATGCTGAAGAAAAGAACAGTTGATTGGAAATACCTTCCAAGATTAGTTGATGCTCCAACTTTTTTAAACAATCTTCATTAATTTCAATATTAGAAGTCCTTTTCAACATATTGAAATTGTTTTTTTGCACATCTGGAGAACCCATGGCCACATGGCCCAGCTCACATCCCCTGGAGCAGCCCCAACTTCCACGCACTCAGCGCGACCTGGGGCCAGGCCAGGGCCCCCCCAAAAAAATAGAAAAAATGTCTAAAAAATGTCTTCATTTCCTGGATCTTAGGTTTCCTTATATAGGTTTTCTTTGCAGCCTGCAAAACCTTGAAACACCACTGAGTCTAGTGTTGAAGCTGGGTCAAAGTCTAGTGTCACCCGTACTGATCTCCACCCACAGACCTCGGTTTGAACCCAAAGATGTTGGGAGCCGCCAGCTGAAACACCTGAGTGCATGCCATCCACAGCTACCAGAAATGAGATCAGCCGTGGCAAAAGCACACAGATTCCGTCCACTAAGCTCCCAGACACACCCTTCGGGGGGGCGCTCTGGATGGATCCTGCAGGCTGTGCAGAACGAGATCCCAAACTGCAACTGCCACCTAACCTTTCAGACCTGTCTTTGGCTTCAAAAGAACTCCTGGGGCCTTCTATTTCCCCAGCTTGGGGGCTATCAAAACATTACCGTTCTGTGCTTCGGTGGTTGCCATGCCTGCAGGCTCCCTCCCGGCAGGGCCACATCCTGAGAGGTTCGTAAAATGTAGCTGGAGACCATCTGCCATCTTGAACTTATTTTCGCCTCCCCCCGTGAAAAATGTAAGAAAGATTGAAACTCATTGGGGCCATCATCTGATAGGCAACTATTGATGCCAGCGATCGATGTCTGTGAGCCAAGCCACCTCCAGCCAGCGTAAATTTTGGCCATCGATTACAAGAGCGGCCACCCGCTCAGCACCTGGTAAGACACAACATGACGCGAAATTTCGAACGCATGTTTTCCAAGTAATTCCATCCACCGATATGACATTCATTTTTTCAATCCCCTAGGAATAATGCCCCAACAAAATTTTAGAAAGAAGAGCTCCCACCAGCTGCTCTTTATATAGCAACGTTTGGAGCGGATCAGTGGGCCTCCCAGTTCCCGACATCTATATCATGCCAAAAAGTATATATCTATTTAATCTATTCATATTCAATCTTATTTACCAAATATCTCATCCAAATTAATCATACCCATCATACCTTATCTGTAGATATATATATATATATATATGAGCACCGGGACGGGGGTCACATTCGCCCCTATTCGAGGGTCACATTCGCCCCTAACCCAAAAGGGGTCACATTCGCCCCTATTCAACAATATTTAAATATGTTACTCAACCCTTTAGGGTTTAACCTGGGGACAAGGGGACATTTAGGGGGACTGGGGTTTAGGGGGGGACATGGGGGCATATGTTGACTTGTCTCTCTATTCCATATTTTACTCAACCCTTTAGGGTTGAACCTGGGGACAAGGGGACATTTAGGGGGACTCGGGTTTAGGGGGGGACATGGGGGCATATGTTGACTTGTCTCTCTATTCCATATGTTACTCAACCCTTTAGGGTTTAACCTGGAGACAAGGGGACATTTAGGGGGACTGGGGTTTACGGGGGGACATGGGGGCATATGTTGACTTGTCTCTCTATTCCATATGTTACTCAACCCTTTAGGGTTTTACCTGGGGACAAGGGGACATTTAGGGGGACTGGGGTTTAGGGGGGGACATGGGGGCATATGTTGACTTGTCTCTCTATTCCATATGTTACTCAACCCTTTAGGGTTTAACCTGGGGACAAGGGGACATTTAGGGATACTGGGGTTTAGGGGGGGACATGGGGGCATATGTTGACTTGTCTCTCTATTCCGTTTAGTGGGGCAAATGGGGGCATATGTTGACTTGTCTCTCTATTCCATATGTTACTCAACCCTTTAGGGTTTAACCTGGGGACAAGGGGACATTTAGGGGGACTGGGGTTTAGGGGGGGACATGGGGGCATATGTTGACTTGTCTCTCTATTGACATATGTTACTCAACCCTTTAGGGGTTTACCAAGGGGGCATTTAGGGGGACTGGGGAACCTTTAGGGAGGGACTTGGGGGCATATGTCAACTGGCGACGAGCTACACCTGTTTGCTGCCACATGCAAGCAACTCTGAAAACACGGGGGCGTGGTTCCAATTTTTCCTTCGCCTCACTATTGCATATGCTTGCCAGTATATTGATCCACAGACTCGGTCCCCAAAGCGTCTTCGAAGTTGCTCCAGATGGATGTTACAACGTAGGAATGGTACACCGTAGCATGATAGTGTCCTGGAAGTTGATTGAAATGGCTGTTCAAACGTAGCATCCAAAGTGTCTTCCAAGTTGCTCGAAATGGATCTTACAACGTAGCATCCATAGTGTCCTAGAAGTTGCTTGCAATGGCTCTTGGAAGGTAACATCCAAAGCGTCTTCGAAGTTGCTCGAAATGGATGTTACAACGTAGGAATGGTACACCGTAGCATCCATAGTGTCCTGGAAGTTGATTCAAATGGCTGTTGGAACGTAGCATCCGAGGCGTCTTCCAAGTTGCTCGAAATGGATCTTACAACGTAGCATCCATAGTGTCCTAGAAGTTGATTGAAATGGCTCTTGGAAGGTAACATCCAAAGCGTCTTCGAAGTTGCTCGAGATGGATGTTACAACGTAGCAATGGTACACCGTAGCATCCAGAGTGTCCTGGAAGTTGATTTAAATGGCTGTTGGAACGTAGCATCCGAGGCGTCTTCCAAGTTGCTCGAACTGGATAGTACACCGTAGCATCCATAGTGTCCTGGAAGTTGATTCAAATGCTGTTGGAACGTAGCATCCGAGGCGTCTTCCAAGTTGCTCGAAATGGATCTTACAACGTAGCATCCATAGTGTCCTAGAAGTTGATTGAAATGGCTCTTGGAAGGTAACATCCAAAGCGTCTTCGAAGTTGCTCGAGATGGATGTTACAACGTAGCAATGGTACACCGTAGCATCCAGAGTGTCCTGGAAGTTGATTTAAATGGCTGTTGGAACGTAGCATCCGAGGCGTCTTCCAAGTTGCTCGAACTAGATGGTACAACGTAGCATCCATAGTGTCCTAGAAGTTGATTAAAATGGCTCTTGGAAGGTAACGTCCAAAGCGTCTTCGAAGTTGCTCGAGATGGATGTTACAACGTAGGAATGGTACACCGTAGCATCCAGAGTGTCCTGGAAGTTGATTGAAATGGCTGTTGGAACGTAGCATCCGAGGCGTCTTCCAAGTTGCTCGAACTGGATAGTACAACGTAGCATCCATAGTGTCCTAGGGGTTGCTTGAAGTGGCTCTTGGAAGGTAACATCCAAAGCGTCTTCGAAGTTGCTCGAGATGGATGTTACAACGTAGGAATGGTACACCGTAGCATCCATAGTGTCCTGGAAGTTGATTGAAATGGCTGTTGGAACGTAGCATCCGAGGCGTCTTCCAAGTTGCTCGAAATGGATCTTACAACGTAGCATCCATAGTGCCTAGAAGTTGATTGAAATGGCTCTTGGAAGGTAACATCCAAAGCGTCTTCGAAGTTGCTCGACATGGATGTTACAACGTAGCAATGGTACACCGTAGCATCCAGAGTGTCCTGGACCAAAGCGTCTTCGAAGTTGCTCGAGATGGATGTTACAACGTAGGAATGGTACACCGTAGCATGATAGCGTCCTGGAAGTTGATTGAAATGGCTGTTGGAACATAGCATCCGAGGCGTCTTCCAAGTTGCTCGAACTGGATAGTACAACGTAGCATCCATAGCGTCCTAGAAGTTGATTGAAATGGCTCTTGGAAGGTAACATCCAAAGCGTCTTCGAAGTTGCTCGAGATGGATGTTACAACGTAGGAATGGTACACCGTAGCATGATAGTGTCCTGGAAGTTGATTGAAATGGCTGTTGGAACGTAGCATCCGAGGCGTCTTCCAAGTTGCTCGAACTGGATAGTACAACGTAGCATCCATAGTGTCCTAGAAGTTGATTGAAATGTCTCTTGGAAGGTAACATCCAAAGCGTCTTCGAAGTTGCTCGAGATGGATGTTACAACGTAGCATCCATAGTGTCCTAGAGGTTGATTGAAATGTCTCTTGGAAGGTAACATCCAAAGCGTCTTGGAAGTTGCTCGAAATGGATGTTACAACGTATAGCAATGGAACACCATAGCATGCATAGCGTCCTGGAAGTTGATTGAAACGGCTGTTGGAACGTAGAAAAGCACGTGAATGTCACTCTCTAGGGTGGAAAAAATCCTTTTGAGGCTCTGAAACTATTGCGCCTGCCACGCAAAAGGAGGGGTCACATTCGCCCCTAAAGGAGGGTCACATTCGCCCCTAATCTCACTTCATCCCCCTTGGAATAGGGGCAAATGCGACCCAAGATGGAATAGGGGCAAATGCGACCCCCGTGCCCACATATGTTGTATATAAATATCATCGTGTCTTATATTATATTTTTGTCATATTACATTACATTATCACTCCT